GGCGGCGCGCCTTTTCACGCGAACTGTTTTGGACGGGGCCTCCTTCTCCTCCATTCTCTCTTTCCCCTGTCCTCGTCCTCCTTCCTCGCACTTCCTTCTCTTCGCACCTCCCCTTGCCAACACTCGCATTGCCAACGCGATGCAACGACCAAGCATGCTTTAATGAGTTCTGGGTTCGCCAGCGAAACCTCAAAACGACCCAAGAGTTGCCCAAAACGGCTTCTTGACGGGCCCCTCATGCCATCCAGGCGCGCGTTGGACACTTGGGTTCCCAGCCACGCTTAGAAGGCCTTGATGAGTCGGGCGGGGAGCCAAGAGTGTTCGGGTCGTCACTGGGCCTCCACCCCCAAAATGGGCCCAGGTCCTTCGCGCTGTCATCGTCGTGGTTTCCCGTTGCGGGTCGCCCACCCGCTGGCGGGTCATTTGTGCGTCGCGCGTTACCGCGCTACACAGGGGCAGTGCGTGGACTACGGCTGCATCAATTCACGTTGAGACCCGTAACGCAAGTGAAACAGTTCGTTATTCTCAACCAGTTTTCGGGTGATCCGCCCGTTGGTGGGTCACTTGTGCAATGCGCGCTACACAGCGGAAGCGTATGTGGCACAAATGCGCCAACCCGTGTTGATGCACACGCTGCTCGTGAAACGATTGGTTGTGTCGGCCAGTTTTCAGGTGACCCACCCGCTGGTGGGTCACCTGTGCGTTGCTCGCTCCACAGTGCGAGCGTATGGAGCACGGTTGCACCAATTCATGTCGAGGCCCAGGGCGCAAGTGCAACAGTTTGTTGTCCTCAACCGTTTTTCTGGTGACCCACCTGCTGGGGGGTCACCTAAGCGTGGCACGCTATTCATGGGAAGTGTATGGAGCACGACTGTGCCAACTCACGTTGAAGTCCAGAATGCAAGTGGACCAGCGACTCGTTTCAACTTCTCGGGTGGCCCACCCGCTGGTCACCCGTGCTTTGCGCGCTACACAAGGGGGATCGATGGAGCACGACTACACCAATACATGTTGAGGCCCAGAAGGCGAGTGAAACAGTTTGTGTTTGCCCGCCAGTGTTCGGGTGACCCACCCGCTTGTGGGTCACCTATGCGCTGCGCGCTGCACACGGGCAGCGCATGGAGCACGATTGCACCAACTGATGTTGAGGTCAAGGGCGCAAATGGAACAACTTGTTTGGTTCAACAAGTTTTCGGTTCACCCACCCGCTGGTGGATCACCTGTGCGTTGCGCGCTACACAGGGGAAACGCATGGAACACGATTTCACAAACTCATGTTGAGAGCCAGGATGCAAGTGAAACCTATCTGGTTGTCCTCACCCACTGCTCGGGTGACCCACCCGCTGGTGGGTCACCTGTGCGCTGCGCGCTACGCAGGGGAGGCGTTGCACCAGCTCATGTTGAAGACCAGAAGGCAAGTGGAACAAATTGGTTTTCTAAGACAGCGCTCGGGTGACCCACCCGCTGGTGGGTCACCTGCGCGTCGCGCGCTACACAGGGGCAGAATGTGGAGTACGACTGCACCACCTCACGTTGAGACCGGGACGCAAGAGAAACATTTCGGTGTTCTCAACCAGTTTTCGAGTGACCCACCCGCTGGTGGGTCATCTGTGCATTGCGCGCTACACCGGGGAAACGCATGGAGTACGAATGCACTCGCTCATGCTGAAGCCCAGAATGCAATTGAAACGATTTGGTTGTCCTGAGCTATTTTTCGAGTGACCCACCCGCTTGTGGGTCACCTTTGCGTTGCGCGTTGCACCTGGGAAGCGTATGGGCATGTTGAGGCCCAGAATTCAGGTGACTCAACTGGTTGTTTCAACCGCGGTCGGGTGATCCACCTGCTAGTGGGTCACCTGTGCGTTGCGCGCGACGCAGGGGAAGAGTATGGAGCACGACTGTTCCAATTCATTCTGAGACCCCGAATACAAGTGAACCAATTTGCTGCTCTTAACAGTTTTTTCTGGATGACCACCCGCTGGTGGTTCACCTGCGCGCTGCTCGCTACACAGGGGCAGCGTATGGAGCACGACTGCGCCAACTCATGTTGGGGCCCAAAATGCAAGGGTACCAACGGTTTCTTTTCAACAATTTGTCGGGTGATCCACCCGCTGGTGGGTCACCAGTACGTCGCGCGCTACACATGGGAAGCGTATGGAGCACGATTGCACAAGTCGTTTTGAGGCTCCAAATGCAAGTGAAACCATTTGTTTGTGTTGGCCAGTTTTCGGGGCTGGTGGGTCACCTGCGCGTCGCGCGCTACAGGGGAAACATATGGAGCACGATTGCACAAAACTCATGCTGAGGCCCAGAATTCAAGTGAACACGTTGGTTGCTCTTAACCAGCTCCCGGGTGACCGAACCGCTGGTGGGTCACCTGTGCGTTGCGCGCTAAACAAGTGAAGCACCTGGAGTACACATGCACGAACTCCTGCTGAGTTCCAGAACGCAAGTGGCACACTTCGTTTTTTTCTCCACCAGTTTTCGGGTGACCCACCGGCTAGTGGGTCACCTTTGCGTTGCGCGCTACACAGGGGAAGCGCGCGGAATCAACTGCATCTGCCCATGCTGAGGCCCAGCATGCAAGTAAAACAATTGGTTTGTATCAGCCACATGTTTCGGGTGGCACACCCGCCGGTGGGTCACCAGTGCGATATGCGCTACGCAAAGGAAGCGCATGGAGTACGAATGCACTCGCTCATGCTGAGGCCCAGGATGCTAGTGCAACAGCTGGTTTTTCTCAACCATCTCTCGAGCGCTCCACCCGCTGGTGAATGCGCCAACTCACGCTGCTGCATCGGATGTACATTGGATTTTCTTTTCGCAACCAGCTCTCGGGGGACCCACCCGCTAGCGGGTCACCCGAAAGCACACGCGGGTGACCCACCCGCCTTGCGCGTTACACGGGGGTGACACGCGCCTTGCCTCCGCGGCGCGCGCCGCGTCACCCGCGTGGCGCGGCGCCCCTGACGGCGCGGCGCGAAGCAGGCGGGGGCATTTGGTACGTTCTTGCCCTCGCGGCCCGCACTGCGCTGCCCGCGGGGCGGGGCGCCCCTGCGGGCGCGGGGAGGGCAGGGGCCCCTTGCGCATCGTTGCCCCCGCGGCGCGAACCGCGTCGCTCGCGGGGCGCAGCGGTCCTTGGCCGCCCTCGGGCACGCCGCTGCTACCCTCGGTCGTTTCCTCCTTCGCGTGTGAACGGTGCCCTGAGGGCGCGGGCCAGGCAAGGCACACTTGACCAACTTCGGCGCGTCGCCCTCGCCCTCGCCCGTCGCTCAATTTGCGGGCGGGCGTGGCCCTCAGGACATTGGCCAAGCAGGGCTCCTTTTGGTCGTCCTCGGGCGCGCCGCCGCTGCCCTCGGTCACGTTCTTCCTTCGCGGGCGGACGTTGCCTTGAGGACGAGGGCCGGGCAAGGCACATTTGGCCAACTTTCGGCACGTGGTCCTCGCCCTCGCCCGTCGCTCAATTTGCCGGCGGGCAGGGCCCTGGGGACGCGGGCCAAGCAAGGATCCTTTGGCCGTCCTTGGGCGCGCCGTCGCTGCCCTCGGTCACTTTCTGCCCTTCGCGGGCGGACGTTGTCTGAAGGGGGCGGGCCAGGCAAGGTGCCTTTGGCCGTCCTTGGGTGCGCCACCCCTGCCTTCGGCCGTGGCGCCGTTCGGGGGCGGACGTGGCCCTACGGGCGCGGAGCAGGCAGGGGCCCTGTGCCCGCAGCATGCGCCGCGATGCCCACCCGAGCTTGTGCCGTTGGATTTGGGCGCCATGCCCGGAATGGCGCGCGGATTTTGAGGGTACCTTTGCGCCCTTGCGTTGTTTTTGCTTTGGGCCCCGCCGCCAATGCGGCAAGGACCCGGGGTTCTGGTCCCCCACCGCCCAATAAATCCCAAATTCAGCCTCCAAGGGTTTTGCATCCCCACCACGTGTCCCTACTACACGTTTTCACCGTATGGGTAACCCCCTTTTGCCGCACACCCGGACGTGTTGGTGGGGCGGGTTGGGCGTTTTGCCAGAGATTTCGTCGCCGTGCACGATCCTGAAATTTGACATTTGAACAGTTTCACGGATGGGGGCGGATGGTTTTCATAATACGTAGTGTATGTTTCGCCTTAGCGCCGCGCACATTTGTTTCAAACGCTTCCAACGGATTAAAGGATGGAGGGCGGTGCTTTTCAACCGGTGGTTTCCATTTTTGTTCCGCACACATGTCTTCCAAAATTTTGCAGCAACTTCAAGAATGGAGGTCCGCTCCTTTTCAGAAGGTGGCTCTCGCCTTGTTGTCACTCATGTTCGTTGTTTGTTTCGATGTGGCATCTGTTTTTAGGGTTCGTATGGTCGAAGTCCCAGACTCGGTCGTCTGATAAGATTTAGGGTTGCCAGGAACTCGCAGTCACGTTCTTCGTGGTGTTGAAGACACATGGGCGGCGTTCTGGCACAGTTTCGGAATGTCAGGGCGCAGCAGACACGTTGATCAGTTGCGTCGAAGTCCCAGGGGTTGTGTTCTGGCACGAACATGGGCATTCTGAGACGGTTGTTTTCCAATGGGGCATTTCCCGCAATGAAGATACATTTCGGTTGAGACTTCTGGAGTGTTTTTGGGGGAGATGGGTGTGAAAACATCCTTGATGCGTCTTGGGTTTACGTTGACCCTCCTCTTTCTCCCGCTACCACCTCCTGCCTGTCTCCTCTTGCCTCCTCTTGCCTCCTTCTCCGCCTCCTCCTCCACCTCCACCTCCTCCTCCTCCTTTCTTCCCGCCCCTCCGCGCGCGAGGGAGCGATGGAGCAGGAGGAATGAGGGATGAGGACGAGGACGAGGAGGAGGAGGAGGAGGAGGAGGAGGACGAGGAGGAGGAGGAGGAGCGAGGAGCGAGGAGAGAGGAGGAGGACGAGCGAGAATCGAGGAGGAAGGAGGAGGAGGAAGTCGGAGCGAGGACGACGACGACAACGACGACGGCGGCGGCGGCGGCGACGACGACGACGACGACGACGAGCACCCCTTGGGCGGGAGGCCCCCTGGCAAGAAGCACAACACCACGGCCGAAGCGGCGGCCGCCGCCGCGCAGGAGGCTGGGGCCCCGCTGGCCTCCGCCGCTGCGTCGAGCAAGCAGGAGCCGTGCGGCGGCACGTCGCTGTCGTCGTCTCGGCGGCACCGCAACTTGGGCTCACTCGAGGCGTTGCAGAAAGAGGCTCGCCCTCCAGGATCGAAGGAGTTGCCAATCTCTTCCTCGGCGAGCAGGCCTCGGAGGGTCGGCGGAGGGCGGCGGAAGCAGGTCGGGAGCGGCCCCGCTGGCGGAAGCTGGCGGAAGGCCGGCGGAAGGCGGCGGAAGTGAACGGTGGCCCTCAAAGAGAATCATGTTTGGGCTCCAGGTTTCCGGAACCCGCCACTTCGAAGAACATGTTTGTCGCAGCGGCTTGGAGTCAAGACGACGCAGTCGGGGCAGCCGAGCGATGGCTCGGAGCCGAAGTGGGCACAGCAGGGATCGGGCGAGGCGGGAAAGGAGGCAGCATAAAGATCGTGGGAGTGTGTAGTTTGGTTCGGTAGGTTCGCGTCGTGTCGACCGGCGGTGACCCCGCCGCCGGAGTTTAACGTTGCACGTTGCCGGCGACCTCGGTCGATGCTGAAAGATTTTACGTTTCGGAAGCGGCCGATCGTTCAGTGTCGAACGATCCACGCGGAGTCAGGAACCAATTCCGGGATCGACACGCAAACAGCGGCATCTATACATATATATATATATATATGTGTGTGTGTGTGTGTGTGTGTTCGGAGTTCTGCGCTGATTTTTGAGATCGGCGCAAGACCCTTTTGGCTGCGCCTCTGGCGCCGCCCCTGCATGGCGCGCTCCGCGAGCCAAAGAGGGGTGTCCAGCGCGGATCCAAGAAATCCACGCGGAGTTCCGAAGATTTGTGTTGATGCCATTGTTTCTCTTGCATCACTGACGGGTACTTTGGACACCCGCCGAAAAATGCTGGTCTAGGGCATCCTCCTCCTCCTCTTCCTCCCTCCTTCTCCCCCTCCCCCCTTCTCCTCCTCCCTCCCCTTCTCCTCCTCCTCCTCCTCCTCCTCCTCCTCCTCCTCCTCCTCCTCCTTCTCCTCCAGGAGCAAGTCGCCATCCTGGGCATCTGCGTGGGCATCCCGTGCCTCTCGTTCCTCGTAGTGTTCCTGGTTACCGTCTCCAGCTACTACCGCAGTAGAAGCTACAAGATGGAGGCTCGGGAGGGAGGCAGCGGGACTCGGCTGCGCCGCAGTCGGTTGCATGCTGCCGGTTCGGTTCAGTCGGTTCGGCTCGGTCGGCGCGGGAGGCAGGCAGGAACATGATAGGAGAAGGACCAAGGTTGTCCGCGGGTCGGTCGGTTCCGCTGCGTCGCATTCGGTCGCATTCGGTCGGTGCGGTTCAATCGGCGCACGATGGATGCAGAAGGAGGGAGGACGGACCAAGGATGTCCGCGGTTAGATTAGTTCGGCTGCTTCCCAGTCGGTTTCATCGGGTCGGTTCGATTCGGTCGGCCCAGGAGGGAGGCAGGAAGAGGAGAGAAGAGGGACCAGTGGTGTCTGCGGTTCGGTCGGTGCGGTTCCGTCGCAGTCGGCTGCAATCGCTCGGTTCGGTTTGTCTTACCGTGGTTTCGTTGCCGCGTCGTTGTTTCTTTATGGGCCCCATCGGTTGGATTCGGTTTCGGTCGCCCTCGTGGTCGGTTCGGTCGGTTTTCGGTTGCGCTGTTTCCGTGGACCACCTTGTCAGTAGAGCGCTAGTGGAGGTCAGGCAGGCCTACAGCAGAATCGCTCTAGAGAGTCCAGCGGCCGCGGCGCTCGATGCGTCCTCCAGACCCGCCATCTGTCAGAATTCCCGATATACCTGGACCCGAAATTATCTTCATCGTGCCGTCGGCCTGGGAGGAGGCAGGAGGGAGAATGTGCAGCAAAAAGGAGAGGTGCGCGCCTCCACTAACGCCCTGGCCGCTGCTAGTATCCGCGCGGACACGGCTGGCCGTGGTGGCCGATCCTGCCGCCGGTGACCACGACGACCTCGGCGACACCGAGGTCCGCCGAGGGGCCGCCGAGAAGCCGCCGAGGGAACGCCGAAGGGCCGCGGAAGGGACGCCGGCGACGGCGGCGGCGGCTCCGTCGACGCCAACGCCGACGGCGACGCCGACGACGAGTACGACAGCGGCGGTGGCGGCGACAGCGCCAGCGGCGACGAGGCGGCGGCGACGACGCTGGCGGCACCCCGAGCCCCCCCGAGCCGGAGGCGCCGCCGTCCGCCCCGGCGGCCGCCTCGCCCAGCGACGCGCACGTGCCCCGCTTCGCGAGGCCGTCGACCGACCCTGGCGTGATCCAGCGCCTGGTCTTGGGGCCGGGCATTGAGATAACCTTCAGATCCTAGCTTCTCACTTGTTTCACCGAGGGGTTCGCGCCTGGTTTCGGGCCGCGGAACCCTCACGGATCGAGTTGGTTCGAAAAATAGCGCAACAACATGGGGTCCGTGGCTCCGTTTGTGATTTTCACGATGTTGCAATTTTTCCCAACGTAGGACCTCAAGGACGCCCACCCAGAAAAGTGGACAGAGTATGGAGATCTGCACCGGTTCACTCGACATAGGCAGCCGAGTTGACCAGTGCAGTCCCCAGTCGAGTTCGTTGATCGACGCGTCTTTTGCAAGGAGCATCCAGTTGCTTTCGAACGCCAATTTGATATCTGGCCCGTGTCCACACTGAATGCGGAGCCATGCGCACATGGATTGCCCCCGGAAATTTCACCATTGCTAAATTGTGTTGTGTCAATCCTCGATCGGGGGCTGTGCTTTGACATCCTCGCGTCGTGAACACAAACAGTCGTATTTAGAATGTTTCTTGATAGTTTTGCGTCTTCCTTGTGCGGGCGGCTTCTCGTCGCCACGGCCGGGTGCGTAGTGAAATATCGCGACCAGAGGTGTTTGGATGTTTTATACCTTGGGGGGCCCTCGCCAGGCCCAGGGGCAGTCAGGCTCGGGGTAAAGCAGCGGTCCTTGGGAAAGGCTCCAGACCTCTATGGGGCCACGTTTTGGAAAAAAAAACGCGACGTCCGATGTCTGGGGAGGAGTAGGAGGAGGACGAGGGGGAGGACCAGAGTACACCCAACATGCATCAGCGATGCTGCAGTAAAGCCCCCCCCGTCCCAAGCCCCCTCTTCATAGGTCTCTACAAGTTTCTTCTTCCACTACACGAAGTGCCTCCCTTGAAAGACCAGTACCATATGGGCATGCGATGTTTGCGAAGGCCTGGTTTTGAACAGGATTGGTCGTGCATTTTGTTTTGGCTCGTACGTGCCGAGACCATGACCATACAATGCATCAAGGAGTCCAGCGAGATCACCCTGTCGAAAACAGGACCCCTCCCTCTCATCAGTGCAAATGCTGCACAAGTCCAACACTTGTGTTCAGTGGCCGCACGTGCAAGCTGGCCATGGTCCTCGACCCCCTCGAAGATTCTGGCCACCTGGTCCTGATCTTCGAGAGGGTCTCAAGTGAGAGCTCCAGTTTGAAAGGGAGCCGCCCTCGATCCGTTCAGTGATGCAGTCGCTGAAAGTCCGGGTCTTCGATTGAGATCCATGAAGTCTAACGTGAGAGCCCATTAAAAATAATTTCCCTCCGTCCTTCGAAGTGCCAATTAATTTCAAGAGCATTGTGGGCGAGAGCCCCGGATTGAAAACGACCAGCGTTCCATCCTAACAAGTGTTGCGTCATTTCAGAAAAAGTGTGCGCCGCGCTGAGGCGAGATCCCCACTTTAAAAAGGAGCTGCCGTCCATCACGGAACTTGATTCAAACTTTGATAACGAACCTCCGCAGCACTAAGGCGAGAACCCCATATTGCAAATGAGCCGCAGTCCATAATTGAAACTCTTTCGGTTCTTGCAACATGTTGAAACGAATGTGTGTGGTGTTGCAGCGAAAGGCAAATGTTGAAAAACAGCAGCCCTCCATCCTCGAAGATGTTGCAAATTGTCTAGTGGAGTGAGCGCTGTGCCACAACGAGATCGCTGCTTTTAAAGCCAGTCTCTGTTTCTCCCTTTCGTTCTCTCTCTCTCTCTCTCTCTCTGTCCACCATTGAAACTGCTGCTGCAGAAGTCTTCACGCTTTGCGTATCGCCACCAGCCTTGCACGACGCCCAGAAGTTCCACCTGGTGCCGGCGCTCTCTCGAGCGGCAGTGAGGTTCGCCTGCTGTCCGTCTCTCCTGCTCGTTCTCGTTTTTTGATATTCCCCTTCCTTTTCCGCTGCGGTAATTTAGGTCGCTGCCTGTGTTCAATATCCTGGACGCTGCCCGGCTTTGCCCTGCCGTGGTCACGATCCAACAAAAATCACCACCAGCCCTCCCAGAATTGTTGCCCATGGGAGTTGATGGGAAAAGGAGCGAAGAGACACAGATAGTAAAACAAAGCGGGCAACCAGGATAGCTTTGGATGGCCTCTTCGGGCCATCTTGGGACCCGCGGGGGAGCGAGGGGAGGAGGAAGGGGAGGAGGAGGAGGACGACGACGATGACGACGAGAAGGAAAAGGAGGAGGAGGAGGAGTAGGAGGAGGAGGCAAATCGCCTCTTGGAGCACTCGTGGGGCTCTTTGGGGGGGTATTGGGGTCTTGTTGGGGCCATCTTGGGCCGCCTCGGGGCCCTCTTGAGGCCATCCTGCGCACATACAGTTTCATTGCGTTGCATATCAGAACGCAACACGGCATACTGGAACAACACATAAAATACCATGACAACGCAAACTACACCATACCACAATATCACATCACACATCATTACATGCCATAACACATCAAACCATGACATATCGCGACGCACGATGGTATACTACAGCAAAGCATAACATGCATACCGGCACAAGCTGTGCGAGAATTTGCCACACCGAGAATTTACATAACACCGCACCTCAACACACAACACAGCAGAGCGTACTATACACACCATGGCACAACATATCGTAGCATAGCGTGCCATGACACAACAGATCACACCGTATCACAGTACTACAACACACATCAGTCCCTCACATCACACACGCTTACACATTAACCCATAACGTGACAGAGCGCGGCATAGCACTGTATCGTATAACATGGCATAATACGCCATAGCGCTATAGCATCGAAAATCATATCATATCATTTAATGTGAGGACATGGCACACCATGGCACAGCATAGCGAGCCGTGCAATGACATAACGGAACGCAGCGCGCATTCCATAACACCACATCACATCATACCGAATAAGGAAGGACAAACACACAAGAAGGTAGAGTAACATAACAGAGCCGAACACGCCACACATGACATGCAATGACAGAGCACAGTTTCTATAGCCAGAGATCAGCTGCCGGTTCCTCCCCCTCGTTCTGCCGGGGGAGCGGTCCGGCAATCATGTTTCACAGCGCAGCCGCCCTGCGGGCAGCCCAACGCGAGCTGCCCTTGGTCGCGCCGCCGCTCCTTGCCATGGCCCTCAGGCCCGCGCGCGTGAGTCGCAAGGTGTCACCTGTGCGACAAGGTTTCCTTCAAAGTCGGGCGCGCGCTGGGTTTTCACCTGTGGTCGTCACCACTTGCATGGGCCTGGTGCCGTCCAGCGGCGTCCGGTGCCGGGGCTGTCGGTGTCGGTCGCCGTCGGGCCCGCGCGTGCGAACCGCAAGGTATCATCGCGCGGTTTTGAAGTCATACGTGTGCGACACGTTTTCCTTGGTATCGGGTACGCGCTGGGCTCTCACTTGTGGTCGTCTTGAGTTGTATGGGTTTGATGCAGTCCAGCGGCTTCTGGATCGCGCTCTCGGGGCGTTTGGCGTCGGTCGACGCCTACCTGAAGTTCTTTTGTACCGCAAGGCTGCACGTGAGGTTCGGTCCTGGCTAGTGGGTTACAGTGCCGCCACAAGGCCGTCTGGTTCTACCTGCTCCGGTGTGATGCCGGTCTACTACTTCACGGGCCAGCTGCACTGCCTGTTCTTCGGCCACCTGGGCCTTCGCCCCATTGTGGCTGCGTCTCCTACGTTGGCATTGTGGTGTTCGCTCGTGGTAAAGCGCTCACTACGCCTTCGTGTCCGTCCTTCCCATGCTCTCGGGGCGCTTCCTGTGCTTCGCCACGCTCGTTTGCAAGGTCTTCGGCACGCTCTTTTGCTGCTGACCGCCTGGTCGGTTTCGCGGCCTAGCGCGCCGTCGCCTTCAATGCTTTTCATTTCGCTACCAGCGCGGCCCGCCGGAGCAGGTTCGGTGTTCGACATGTTTCGCGCGCCCGCGGACCAAACAGTATCCCCACCAGTCCATTCAGAAACAGTTTGCCAGTCGAGACGAAACGCTGTTGTGAGATGTTCTCGAGGGTCTCTTGGAGCCATCGTTTGGCCCTCTTGAGGTTTTCTTGGGGCCTGGTTGGAGCCCTCGAAAGACCAACCAGAAAATCCATTGGGGCACCAGGAAAACGGTGGGCGAACGGGGGAATTTTCCTGGGTCGAACGGATATTGTTTTTCGGGTCGGATGGGGAAAACCGAGGACGTCGTACGAGGATTTTTTGCCCGCAGGGTGGGGGGCATTTGTTCCCGGTGAGGGTCTTGGTCGATTCGTAAGGCTCCCAGCCGATTGTACCATCCAGCATTGTGTGGTTGTTTTGGAGCGGCTTCAGCTGGTTCCTTTTTTTTCTTGCCCGGGGGAAGAACATGTTGCTTCGCGCGAGTTTGATGCCAATGAACGGAAGACGAATTGCATCGTCAGGGGATCAGTCTTGCGCACTGACGTCGCAGCTATGATGTTTATTTTCGGGTCGTGGGCTAGCTTATGTTGCCAACCCATGCCCTCCTCGTCCCGTTTCCAGGGATTTCGCATCTCTGTATGATGGTGGGATGGGGGAGCGGTCCGCCCACGTGCGAGGCACTTTTCCTTCCTACCCCTGCTCCTTTCGGCGATGGTTTGGTCTTGGACGGGTGTCCGAAAGCTCAGAGGGAGAATGCCAAATACCCGATCCGCTGAGATCCAACCCTCGACGCATCGAGTTCGCGATACAGGTCAGGCACAGTTTTACCACAGAGGCAGTCCAGCGGACAGGCAGAGTAGAGTAGTGCTACTGTTTCGTCTCCCGCGCGTTGCCATCGGACGCGTCGAACGGAACAGTTTTTCTGTTCCGCCCTGTTGCGTTGCCGCTCCGCGCGCTCATCGTGCAGCGCAGGCGTACTCTAAGAACATATCGCAAATATCATGGTTCACGATCGTACATTGCGAGGCAATGTCAAGCGACACGGCCGGTACGTTGTAGAGAAAGTTTTGGTGTGCGACGCTACGGGGTTGTAAGGGCATTGGGTGGATGAAGAGGAAAGGGAGGGACAGGGGGAGGA